TGGAGTCCCACGTCGGGTTACCTGCATGGAGCCTGCTTCTCCCTCTGCCTGTGTCTCTGCTTCTCTTTCTCTGTGTCTCAATAAATAAATAAATTCTTTAAAAAATAAAAATAATAAAAAATAATAAAAATTTCCATTTCTTTAAACCAATTAAGGACTTAAAATCTATGTCTAAAAAATTCCATTATCGGGATGCCGGGGTGGCTCAGCGGTTTAGCACTTGCCTTTGGCCCAGGGCATGATCCTGGAGACCGCAGATCGAGTACCATGTCGGGCTCCCTGCATGGAGCCTGCTTCTTCCTCTGCCTGTGTCTCTGCCTCTCTCTCTCTCTCTCTCTCTCTCTCTCTCTCTGTGTGTGTCTCTCATGAATAAATAAAATCTTTAAAATAAATAAAAAATAAAAAATTCCATTATCTAGAACCTGCCAATTGTCTATACTGTCTTTTGTTTTTTGTTAGGGTTATCTTGTTTCCTATTGTGTCTGAGGTTTAAAATTGAATGTTAGACACTGTATATTAAAAAGTAGGGCATCCCTGGGTGGCTCAGTGGTTTCGCACCTGCCTTTGGCCCAAGGCGCGATCCTGGAGTCCCAGGATCAAGTCACGTGTCGGGGCTCCTGGCATGGAGCCTGCTTCTCCCTCTGCCTGTGTCTCTGCCTCTCTCTCTCTCTCTCATAAATAAATAAAAATAAATCTTTAAAAAAAAGTATAGAAATAATTTGAGGCCTAGTGTAATGATATATTACATTGAGAAGAATATTTACTTCTGGTGGGCTGCTTAAGGGCCTCACCTCAAGTTCTATAATCATCTTAATTCCATTTTAAAGATGAGATAATCTAGGACACCTGGGTGTCTCAGCGGTTGAGCATCTGCCTTTGGGTCAGGGCATGATCCCGGAGTCCTGGGATCGAGTCCCACATCCGGCTTCCTGCATGGAGCCTGGTTCTCCCTCTGCTTTTGTCTCTGCCTCTCTCTCTGTGTCTCTCATGAATAAATAAATAAAATCTTAAAAAAAAAATAAAAATAAAGATGAGATAATCTGAAGCTGGGCCAATGTTGCATTTGGGGTGCCAACACAAAGGATGGAAGGTTTGTCAGCTTCCCCTGACCCTTGGTGGTATCTGGACTCTATTTTGTCCCCTCTACCCTTGTACAGCTTCAGGAATGCCACTCAGCTTCTCAGCTACCTTTTCTGGAACTGTGGAAAACCCCTGAAGAAAAAAATGAGGCTAAATGCCAGGTTCCCCTTCTGAGTTTACTTCTTTTCCCAGATCCTATCCCTATAATTCTTTAAGATCTAGTTAATGCTCTAGTGCCTTCAAGGAGGTTATTTTTGTATTTAATTCCAGAGGAAGTAGTTGTTTTCAACTATTTGGATTAGAAAGGTTAATACAAATTACCTAGTCTAGCACTACTAGAAGCAGAAGCCTCAAATTTCCCCCAAATACCATATTCAAATTCTTTAGAGGAGCAGCTGTTTCCTTCTCTTCCTTTTACCCTGGGTAAATGTCACATTTACCCAGTTCTATCACTAGGATGAAAAAGGGGAATGAGGAAACAGACATTGAATCAATTCCTTTTAAGCACTGCACCTCACTTCTGCATTCCTCCATCATACGTGCAACTGTGGGCCTGGAGCCTCTTTAGGGTTCCAACATGCAAACTCTTAGCCATGGTTTGTGTTTCATCCAATATGAAACATTTTTTAAATCTCGCATACATTGTTAAACAGTCTGCTTTCATTTATTCTATTTATTTCTTCTTGTACATCTTATTTTATGTGGAATTGCAGGGGACAGGAAGAAAACATGTTTTCAGCTTACCACCTTAAACTAAAAGTTTCATTAAATCTTTAAAATGTTCATTTACAGGATGCCTGGGTGGTTCGGTTGGGCATCAGACTCTTGGCACAGGTCGTGATCTCAATGTCCTAGGATTGAGCTCCATGTCGGGCTCCTGGCTCAGCAGGGAGTCTGCTTCACCCTCTTCCCTTCCCCTTATGTGTACTGTCTTTCGAATAAATAAGTCTTTTTTTAAAAAAGATTTTATTTATTTATTCATGAGAGACATGGAGAGAGGCAGAGACATAGGCAGAGGAAGAAGTAGGCTCTCCGTGGGGAGCCTAACATGGGACTCAATCCCTGGACCTTAGGATCACGCCCTAAGCCGAAGGCAAATGCTCAACCACTGTGCTACCCAGGCGTCCCATAAACAAATAAATCCTAAGAAAAAAAAATGTTCATTTACTTTGACCCAGTCATTCTACTTTTTAAGAATCTATCTTATAGACATAAACAAATACACAAAACTATACAGATAAGGATATTTGCTATACCACCATTTTATTTATTTTTATTTTTAATACTTATTTAAGTAATCTCTACACTCAATGTGGGGCTCAAACTCATGACCCCAAGATCGAGCTAGTCAGGTGCCCCACTATAGTACTATTTTAGAAAATAATGGAAATAGCCCAAATATCTATTTAAATTATGGTACAATAGAGAAATTTTTAAAGACTGAATTAAGTTAATATATAATGACAGTATTCAATTTTTGTTAGAAAGCAATTTTCAAAAGCACATGACAGTACATGCTTAGAAGAAGAAATCCAAATGCTTAACATATGAACATTAATAAAAGCTTATGCTAAGTTTTTTTTTTTTTTTAAATTCATGTGAGACACAGAGAGAGAGGCAGAGACATAAGCAGAGGGAGAAGCAGGCTCCCTGCAGGGAGCCCGATGCAGAACGCAATCCCAGGACCCCAGGTTCATGCCCTGAGCTGAAGGCAGAAGCTCAACCACTGAGCCACCCAGATGTCCCAAAGCATATGCTAAGTTAAGTAATATTTACCTCTGGGGAAGGCATTATAAAGAACTACTGTTTTTGTCATTAGTCTTACAATATTTGAAATTTTAGGGACGCCTGGGTGGCTCAGGTTCAGGTCGTGATCTTGGGGTCCAGCGATCAAGTCCGATCCCTGCGGGGAGCCTGCTTCTTCCTCTGCCTATGTCTCTGCCTCTCTCTCTGTCTATCTAAAATCTATTTATTCATGAGAGAGACAGAGAGAGAGGCAGAGACATAGGCAGAGGGAGAAGCAGGCTTCCTGCAGGGAACCCAATGTGGGACTCAATCCCAGGACCCCAGAATCATGACCTGAGCCAAAGGCAGACGCTCAACCACTGAGCCACCCAAGTGCCCCTAAATAAAATCTAAAAACACACACACACAGACACACACACACACACACACACACAAAAAAAACAGGCCTCTATTCGAAGTAGGTAGCACTAACCAGGCTAAAGCAAGCCCAGCACTTTTAGAAGTGGAACCTAGACACAGTGAAAAGTCCTACCTAGTGCTGTAGAAGTAACATGATTTGATTATGCATAAAGATGGAAGAGATGGGGACGCCATAAATAAATAAAATATTAAAAGAAAAGATGGAAGAGACATAAAAATGAACAGAAGAGACATAGCGTGGAGCAATGAAAAGGCATAGAAAAAAAAAGGCCTAGAGAAAAGGGTAGAAATAGAACTGCTGGAAATCAAGATAAGAATTAAGAGAGTCCATCCCAAGATAAGTCCTGGGAAGCCTGGGTAGCTTAGTGGCTGAGTATCTGCATTTGGCTCAGGTCGTGATCCTAGGGCCCAGGGATCGAGTCCAACATTAGGCTCCCTGTGGGCAGCCTGCTTCTCCCTCTGCCTATGTCTCTGCCTCTCTATCTCTCATGAATAAATAAATAAAATATTCAAAAAAATAGAATTAAGAGTCCAGTAGGAAAGAAGCAAATATATACATTTTTATATTTAGCATGTGTAATTGCAATGCAGTATGGCTAATTTTTTGCTGTCTTTGATAGTCTATTTATCTGTCAATACTGTTTTCATATTGTGCCTAAATGAGTTAAGCTGGGACCAAGAAGTCTATTTCACTTTTTTTTTTTAAGCAGGCTCCATACCCAGTATGGAGCCCAATGTGGGGCTTGAACTCATCACCTTGAGATCAAGACCTGAGCTGAGATCAAGAATCAGACACTTAACCGACTGGGCCAGCCAGGGGCCCTGCCCCATGAAGCCTGGTTTAGTATCTCTACTACAAAAGAGCAGGATGATCATAGATTGAAATGCCTTTACATCTTGGGTTTTCAGTTTCCAATTCCATAAAATGGAGGTTCAAATTAGAAAATTCAAAGTTAAGTTCAGATAAAAAGTTCCATCACCTTAAAAGGAGACTATTCCTCTTTCAGCCTGGCATCCCTTGTCCATCTGTCTGCCCACACATGCTAGAGATGACTAATGCTATGATTTCCTAGTCCTGTACTCAAGGCAGATATTGGTAATGAGCTACAGGGCTTGCCTGGGTCTAGTGACTGAGTTCTCTCTTACTTTCAAACCTCCACATGGCCATTTGCAATTACTTGGAGATGGTACTTGAGATGAAATCTGTTTGCCATCCTACAAATCCATAAGCAAGTTATGACTTTCAGTACAATTAAAAAACTTTTAGTGAATATTTTCTACATTTAAAAAAAACCCTGATAATTCTCTCCTATGACTAAAACTGACTTTCATATTTTTGGACTGACTAGATTAATAGGATATAAAGCACTGTCAAGATAACCTGAATATGACAACTTACATATTTCTTAATTTATTCTGAATCATTTTTAATAACCTCTGTTAACATGACTTCCTTAGTCAAGGCACCAGTGCTAGGGATTCTACATTCATGCAAACTGTCAAAGAACCCAGCATACCCATTAATCCTATTCAACCGGATAGTCAGTGGCATAATGAGGTCTGGGGTAATGAACTGCATTGCACTGCTAATTTATTTAGCATGTGTTCAGTATAAAAAGAGCTAAAGATAGCAAACGAGGATTTAAAAATAACATTTATCTCAAGGTTTCTTCCATAAAGTATTTTTAATTTCTTAAATATAGAAGTCCCCACCATTTTAAAAGTTGACAAAGAAAAACAAGAAATATCCTTACCAATTTTTCTGCTTCTGTGTTCATTTCCCTTAATTTTTTGATATGTTCCTTTTTAATCATGAGAATTTTTGATAATTTGGTCTACAGACAAAGAAAAAGAAAAGTTTTGGAATAGAGGCATATAAGTACAACAAACATTAAATTACCATTTTTTCACTAAGGTATTCTAGCAAATTTTAGTGTTTCAAAATAAATAAATATAACACAGGCATTTTTTAAAAATAAATCTGACTGGCTCCCAGAAAAATATTTTCTTAAAATCCACTATAACAAGAACATGTCAAAAGGACTAAGGAGTCAACTTGAACAAGCTTTTGCTGGCCCATATAGGACAATTCATTGAACAGTAAGAATAACCAGTGCACAGGGTACTCAGGCAGCTCAGTTGGTTCATCATCTGCCTTTGTCTCAGGTCATGATCCTGGGGTCCTTGGATCAAGCCCCACGTTAGGCTCCCTGCTCAGTGGGGAGTCCGTTTCTCCCTTTCCCTCTCCCCCTCCCCCTGCGCTCTCTCTCTCCTCTCTCTCATGTACGTGGGAATTCTAAAAATAAATAAATAAATAAATCTTTAAAAAAGACTATTTCAGTTAGCAAACAAAGAAGGAATGATAGAACAAGAACAAGGCCATTTTGCAATCCTAATAAACGACTGGATCTAGGCACTGATAATCAGTGGCAGCTAATTTTATCTAAAAAACAAAATAGCATGGGTCTGTCAGAACACAAAACCACCTATAAAAGTAGTCCTAATAAAAACAAAAGAACAAAATAAAAACCCCAAATCTAATCAAACTATATCCAATGAGCAACTTACATGAAATACAAAAGACAAAAAAACATGTTGAATGATACCAGAAGGATTCAGTTAGAAAAATCGACTACTGGACTCTCTGGACAAATAATCCAGTTTCTTCAACAAGTAAGTACTACAGGGAAAAGAGCATCCAAAATGTTAAGAGACAAGTATTTGAATTTGAATGCTGACTTGACAACTGATTAAAGCAATTCTGGAAAAAAAAAAAAGCAATTCTGTTAACTTTTTAGCTATAATAATGATATTATAGTTATGTTTCTTTTCCTTTTTTTTTTTCTTTAAGTAATTTCTACACCCAGTGTGAGGCTCGAACTCATAACCTGGAGATTAAGAGCTGCATGTTCCTACAGCTGAGCCAGCCAGATATCCTTTAGTTATGTTTCTGCCAGGTATCCTTTAGTTATGTTTCTTTAGTTAAAAAAAAAAAAGCCCTTATTTCTTAGAGACACATAATAAAATATTTACATATAAATGATATAATGTCTGGTATTTGTTTCCAAATAATGCAAAAGTGAAAAGGTACGTGGAAGTACAAATGAAATAGGACCAGCCAGGAGTTGCTAAGAACCATCTAGCCTGATGGGTACACAGTGGAGAGGGAACAACTGTCTGCTTTTTTTTCTTAATGAAAAAATATATTTTTGGGACACCTGGATGGCTCAGTGGTTGAGTGTCATCCCTGGGTCCCGGGATCGAGTCCCACACATCAGGCTTCCTGCATGGAGCTTGCTTCTCCTTCTGCCAATGTCTCTGCCTCTCTCTCTGTGTCTCTCATGAATAAATAAATAAAACCTTTCTTAAAATAGTTATTTATTTATTTATTCATTTATGGGGAGGGGAGAACACGAGTGGGGTGAGAGGCAGAAGGAGAAGCAGACTCCCCGGTGAGCAGGGAGCCCAACATGGGGCTTGATCTCAGGACCCTGGGATCATGACCTGAGCCAAAGGCAGATGCTTCACTGACTGAGCCACCCAGGTGCCCCTGACTGCTTTGATCTGCTTTAATTTTCAATAATTAAAAAACCCTAAGAATTGGCCTAAATTGATACAGGCAGAGGGCCCCATACTTGTTATGGAACTGAGTGTATTTAGTGCTCAGCGGGTCCAGAGCTGGGGACACATCTCCCTTCTCTTCCAAACTGTTGGATTTGTACAGAAATATGTGTGATTCTTTAGAGATGAAAGCAGGAAAAGGTGGGTGAAGGCAACTGTCCCTTTTTTGTTTCTACTTCAGTTTTGTGTTGCTTGTTTTTGATAGAAAATCATGCCATTACATTTTCATTATTTTCAACCCTGAGTTCTCTGGGAGAAATCAGATCAGTCTCTTTGGATTCCTCAAAATCCTCAACCCCAGGAAATAAAAAGTTTCCTCAAAAAGAAAATCCGTTGTAAACTACGAATTATGAAACTTGCAATTTTCTTTTCTGAGAGTGAGCAGAGGCAGCAGAGGGGCAGATGGAATCTAAGCAGGCTCCCCACTGAGGGCAGAACCAGCCCCAGGGCTCCATCTCAAGACCGTGATCCCGCCTGAGCCGAAATCAAGTTGGACACTTAAGTTACTGAGACATCCAGGTGCCTTGAAACTTGCAAAATATTTTTTTTTATTTTTTTTATTTTTTAAAATTTTTTTTAAATTTTTTATTTATGATAATCACACACACACACAGAGAGAGAGAGAGAGAGAGAGAGAGAGAGAGAGAGAGAGAGAGAGAGGCAGAGACACAGGCAGAGGGAGAAGCAGGCTCCATGCACTGGGAGCCCGACGTGGGACTCGATCCCGGGTCTCCAGGATCGCGCCCCGGGCCAAAGGCAGGCGCCAAACCGCTGCGCCACCCAGGGATCCCGCAAAATATTTTTAATACTTGTTTTGTCATAAGAAAAAACTATTAAGAACAGAGAAAGATAAAAATATTATCTATTTCAAGGGCACCTGACTGGCTCAGTCAGTAGAGGGTGCAACTCTTAATCTCAGGGTCTTGAGTTTAAGCCTGGGGGGATCAGTTGGGTACATGTCTGCCTTCGGCTCAGGTCGTAATCCTGGGGTCCTGGGATCAAGCCCCATGTCAGGCTCCCTGCTTGGCTGGGACTCTGCTTCTCCCTCTCCTCCCTGCTTGTACTCTCTCTCGATATCTCTGTCTTTCTCTCAAATAAACAAATAAAATCTTTAAAAAAAAAAAAGCATCCCACGTTGAGCACAGAGCCTACTCAAAAAAAATTATACAGACATATCTACTTCGAACCTTTTCTCTTTTTTTTCCTTTACTTCAAACCTTAAAGTTAACAAGAGCAACCTGAGTTTCTTAAAACCTTACATATTATAAAAGAAAAGTACATACAAGAACTTTTATTTTTACCTCTGAGATGGCTTTAAATAATAATGAAAGTGTTTTAGCTGGGCTTTACACCTAGTTTTTGAAGTTAAAATTAAGCAATTAAACCAAATATGTAAGCATCAATAAAAATATTAGTATATTAGAGGTAGTGCAGAAGTACCTAGCTTCTGGCTCCCTCTGCTGGTATCTCCCTCCCTCTCTCTCAAACATACACACACACACACACACACACACACACACACAAAACACATCCAAATAGGTCATAGTAGCTTTGTTTTTACTTCTACTACCTAAAAGAATTTCTTTAAAAAAACAAATGTCCTATATGTGAAGAAGATAAGCCTTGGCTCTGTTCATAATTTCAGCTTTTCATATAAAAATATCTTATCTTTGGAAGCTAAAAGGCATAAGAAATTCTGCATTATAAGGATAACCAACAACATATGATCAAGGAATACAAAATGCTATACATATGCACATAAATGACAAAATGTTTCCTTAAAATATCAATTGCAAGTGGTAACACTGAACATTTTAATGGATTCTGTTACAAATATTTTTATTTATACTCTACCTCAAGCCAAAGTAGTTTTTCTTTTCATAAAATGAAATCAAGCATTATTAGACTATGATTCAAAATAAACGACTAATTTAATTTTCAAAGTGGACAGCTCATTACATTCTGATGAGTCAGTCTATTCAAGAATACTGTTCTACTTAATAATTCTAAACTTGTTTCAGGTGAGGCTTCTAGTTCTCGGTGTCGATCACTAGTTCAGCAAGCCAATGCACTGTAACTGCTCAAGTGATTGATAATTGAGGGATGCACTGAGGTCACTAATAAAGCCTTTTTATGTACACAGGTTATTTTTTTTTAAGATTTTATTTATTTATTCACGAGAGAGAGAGAGAGAGAGAGAGAGAGAGAGAGAGAGAGGCAGAGACATAGGCAGAAGGAGAAGCAGGCTCCATGCAGGAAGCTTGATGTGGGACTCGATCCTGGGACTCTGGGATCATGCCCTGAGCCAAAGGCAAACGTTCAACCACTGAGCCACCCAGATGTGGCTCCCCGTACATAGGTTATTAACAGCCAACCATTTAGGTTTGATAGAGCACATGCTCTGATGTTGGAGTCCTTAATGTAGCAAAATAAGAACCAAACTGAAGAAGAGTTCAACAAAAAAGACCTATAGGTCTCTTTTGGCTGTTATGACTTTTACTTTCTTAAGGTTACTTTACTATTATTCTTTCTTTCTTTCTTTCTTTCTTTCTTTCTTTCTTTCTTTCTTTCTTTCTTCTCTTTCTCTCTCTTCTTTCCTTTCTTTCTTTCTTTCTTTCTTTCTTTCTTTCTTTCTTTCTTTCTTTCTTTCTCTTTCTCTCTTTCTCTCTCTTCTTTCTTTCCTTTTCTTTTCTTTTCTTTCTTTTTGAGAGAGAGAGAGAGTGGACAGGAGGGGCAAAGGGAGAGAATCTCAAGCAGACTCTGCTGAGCGTGAAACCTCATGTGGGACTAGATCTCAGGACCCTGAGATCACAACCTGAGCTGAAATCAAGAGTGGACACTCAACTGACTGAGCCACCCAAGTGCCCTTTTATTTTTGAGCTTTGCTGGAAATAACCGAGTTCTTAAAACCAACACAATGATTAAAAAAAAAAACAAAAAAAAAAACTAAAAATATTTGGTCATAGAAAATTTTTCAATTTTGATCAACACAAAAGATGTTGAGTTTTTTTTCATAAACAAGTCAAGATACTCAGAGCAATTCTTACCACTTGGATAAGGAATTCTACCGGAAAACCACCTAATGTTTCAGTGTCAGAGCCAGAAATTTTACTTCTCCAAGGTGACTGTCCTAGTAAAGGGTCATTATCCTATGGGAACAAAAGGGAATCATTTAACCACTGACTGTTCAAAAGAAAGCATTTTATTTTTAGATAAAAAGTAAATCCGTTTGTAATTACTATTACATTAAGAATCTTACAAAAAGGAAAATAATTCCAGAGTTGAAGCAATTATTTGCTTATTTAATAACTGACAACTTAAAATAATGCAGCTAAAGTTGCTTTAATGATTTGTATTTCATAAAAACCAACTCCCATTCATAATAATCATTTAAATTACTGATGACATTTAAAAAAATATTACTTACCGTGATCGGTGATTGGAGAGGAGGAGTATAATGTAATCGTGGTGGAGTCATAAAGAATCGAGAAGGCCGCTGTTTTTGTCCGAAGGCAGCAATTGGCATCGTCTCGTGAGGCTCATTACTCTTTGAGAAAAAAGTCCAGATATCTTGAAGAATTTTATCAATCATCTTAGCTTTATAAACATTATGTTGCAGCTGGAGATGTGTACCAACTCATGTGCTATGATTTATCACAGAATCTCTTATTCTACAAAGGTCAGAGGGCTAAAATTGAAGTCCGAGTATGAAAACACTACTTTGCTATCAAAAAGTAACTCACACACACACACACACACACACACACACACACACACACACACAAAGTAACTCACAAAACAGAAGAATTAAGAAAAGAAAAAGACCACTGGATGGAAATATTTGGAAAATAAAAAATATTAGTGTACTATGGTTATCTGTGCTTGTTATGGGCTAAAGGCTGTCTCAATATTACCTTCTGCAGTTAGAGTCCTCTTTTATCTGGCCAGCAAGAAATATCTCATAAAGGAAACTGCATTAATGAACCAGAAAAGCAACTTTCCTTTTTTGAAAGGGGAGTTTGAAAGATTGCATCCTTTAAGGAAAAACACTTAGGATTCGTATACTTTGCTCTACAAATATAGTCCAAATTTTCTCTCCCATTTCTCCTCTTTAAAAAAGTATGTTTAGGGATCCCTGGGTGGCGCAGCGGTTTGGCGCCTGCCTTTGGCCCAGGGCGCGATCCTGGAGACCCGGGATCGAATCCCACGTCGGGCTCCCGGTGCATGGAGCCTGCTTCTCCCTCTGCCTGTGTGACTATCATAAATAAATAAAAATTTATAAAAAAAAAATAAGGAAATGCTCACAATAAACAGTCTTAATTTTTAAAAAGTACATATCAGAAAAAGAAGATTCTTCTATATTTGCACTAAGGAGATAAAGAAATTTTGATTTTTAATTGTAAGATGACAATCCTTAAAAATCAAGTTTATAACAAAGAAAATGAAAAAAGAAAGATTAAAAGTGAACAATTTAATTTCTATAATGCTTAGAGTTAGAGGCAAACGATTCTTTTTTTTTTTTAATAAGATTTTATTTATTTATTCATGAGAGACACAGAGAGAGGCAGAGACATAGGCAGAGGGAGAAGCAGGCTCCAGGCAGGGAGCCCAACGTAGGATTTGATCCTGGGACTCCAGGATCATGCCCTGAGCCAAAGGCAGACACTCAACCGCTGAGCAACCCAGGTGTCCTAAAGGCAAACAATTCTGTTATAAAAAGTTCATTACTGAGGTGCCTAGCCACCTCAGTCAGTATAGTATGCCACATGCAACTCTTGATCTCAGAGTTGTGAGTCTGAGCCCCACAATGGGTGCAGAGATTACTTAAAATCTTAAAAAAAAAAAAAAAAGAAAGTTCATTATTCAACTTTTTAAAAACTTTATTAGATTGCAGAGTTGGTTGTCCTCTTAAAATAATTTTGACTTATTAGAAAGGTGCATAACTCTCATGACACTGCTAAATCACACATGAGCATGAAGTAATGGTCTAGTAGCTTAAAGGACTGATTCAAGAATTTGAAAGATATGGAATCTGTTCTCACTCTGTCAGGAAACCAGCTCTAGAGAGCCTTGAATAAATTATTTAATGTACTATGTCTTAAGTTTCATCATGCAAAAAATGAGGGTAATTAACATCTACCCTGCATAATTCTGAGGATAAAATAGAAGAATAAATCTTAACATGCAAGATATCACTTCATATTTTTAAAATAACTTTGCAAGATGACCATACTTTAAAAAAATAGCTGGAATAAAAGTATCTTGTAGCTTATCCCCCAAGGTTATTTAGTGAGTTCTGTCACACTAAAATGCTCTATGGGTATAATGGAAAGATGTTCACTTCTAGACAATGCTGAAGACTTGAGTGTAGTTCTGGTCTAGGGGCCTGGTAGGTAGGACCGCAAACTCCTAAGAATTTCTTCCACTGTGAGACCTGAAGTCTTGATTCTACCACAAAATACAGTCTGTAGAAAATTCTACACATTTTTTTTTGAAGATTTTTTAAATTTTGGGATGCCTGTGTGGCTTGGTTGGTTGAGCATCTGTCTTCAGCTCAGGTCATGATCCCGGGGTCCTGAGCTGAGATCTCACGTTGGGCTCCCTGCTCAGTGGGAAGGAAGCCTGCTTCTCCCTCTACCTGTTGCTCCCCGTGCTTGTGTGTACTCTCTCAAATAAATAAAATTTTTAAAAAGAATTTTTTTTTATTTTTTATTTTTAAAGTAAACTCCACACAGAACACGGGGCTCAAACTCAGAAGCCCAAGATCAAGAGTCACATGCTCTACTGACTGAGCCAGCCAGGTGCCCCATATAGCATATTTAATAGGCATAAAACAGAAGTGTATTATGAAATACTTACAAGAACTTCATAGTCAGGGATGGTATGGGTTCCAAGCCCTGCCCTATCAAAAGTTACTCTATAGGTAGCATTAAAAGTATCCACCGCATCTATTTGTCCAGTGAAGAGACCATCATGAACACCTCGTAATCGAGCTGGAAAAACAAACAAAAAGACATTAAGATATTTGGAAGATACAACAAATTGTCAAATTTAAACTGCTCCAATATAAATATATATATTTATAATATATATAATATATATATTTAAAATATAGAAAGTATAGTATTATTGTCCATTCTAGTTTCAAAGAAGGATCTTAGGTTTAGAGAAACAACAAAAAAATTTTAAATACAACTATAAATGATGATCGCTAATTTGATATTTGAATGTAATCATATATCTACCTGGGAAAAATATTTTTAAATCATTGCTTTAAACCCCAAATTGGAAAAAAAAAAAGTTGACAGAAGAAATTTAGTTATTATACTCAAGTGAAACACTAGGAGCAGTTTAACTACAAAAAAAAGGCTGGGATGATGTTCAGAAAAGATTAATACACTACGGCTAAGATCGTTATCCTCACAAAGGCCTGCCTGCACAGTTGGCATCTTGGAACCTGAATTTCAGGAGTGTTCCCACTGTTCTGATACTAACGGAGGTGGTATACTGTACTTGGACTGTGATTGTCCAAGACAACCATTTCAGGGTACTAGAAATGGACCAAATGCAGAAAAACAATTATAAAATGTTTACTGTTGGGGCACCTGGGTGGCTCAGTTGGTTAGGCATCTCACTCTTGCTTTTGGCTCAGGTCATGACCTCAGAGTTGTGGGATCAAGCATAGAGTCTGCTTTACTCCCTCTCCCTCTGCCCCTCCCCTTGTGCCCTCTCTCAAATAAATAAATAAATCTTAAAGGAAAAAAAAAAAAGAAACATTTACTGTTGAAAAACTGCTACACCTTCAGGTAAGGACAGGGGAAGTCAGTAGCCCTTTTGCATGAGGCTATTCATATCCCTACCATCACCACTACTTTGGTTGGTAAGAAGGTTTTGTTTTGTTTTTGTTTTTTAAAGATTTTATTTATTGGAGAGAGAGAGAGCATGAGCAGGGGGAGGGGGAGAAGGAGAGGGAGAGGTTGAAGCAAACGTCCTGCTGAGCTGTGTGCCCAATGTGGAACTCAATCTCAGGACTGAGAGATCTTGACCTGAGCAGAAGGTAGATGCTCAACTGACTGAGCCACCCAGGTGCCCCAGTAAGAATGGTTTTATTAGTGTATGTCTGGGTCATGAAAACAGTAGTGTGATCTCCAGAGAGGGCAGATTCCATGTGGACCAATGGGTAAAAGCTGTGAGTCTGCCAGTTAGAAGTGGTAAACTTGATCAGGAGAGAAAAAGAGAAGCCCACAGCTTTGTAAGACCAAGGTGTAGTATTGCCTGAGGAGATTGGCAGAACAGGGAGATCCTGGAAATCAAAGAGCTGAAAAGGGCTGAATACTCTCCATAAATCTCTAGCTAACTAGAAAACTATATGAATGGCTAGAGAAGATGTAAGCAAGCCTGGTAAAAAGTAAAAGCTGAGGTTCACTTGAAAACTGAAAGCAACTTTGTGTGTGTTTCCCAACTCACATACAGATCAATCTGAGGCCTTTCTCATTAAGATGCTTGAGCATAACCTCTGCTCAAGTCACTGGGTGCTCACTAAATTATACAGACACAGGTGCAACCACTAGGAGGCCAAGCTTAAAAATATAAGAACAAAAACACTGAGCAGAGACATCAGTGGTTATATAAGGCAAGTTACTAAAGCAAACCCAACAACTACCAAAAAAAAAAAAATCAGAAGGCAGAGTTAATATGATCATTATCTAAAATGTCAAGTTTTCAACCAAAAATTACTAGACATGTAATGAAATAAAAAAGCATGATTTTTAACTCAGTATTAAAGGGGTATTAAGTAGAAATTGATGGAAATTATAGAGTTAGCAAAGACTTCAAAAGTAAATACTATAAATATGTTCAGAGAAGTAAAAAAAAGATGACAATACTTGATTGGGTATCTTAACAAATAGAACCTACAAAAGAACCAAATGAAAACTCCAGAATTAAAGAGCAAATTTGAGGTAGAAGAATCAGTGAACGTTTCAAATTATATATTGTAGAAGTCTGGATTATGATCTATGAAGAAGAGACCAACAAAAATTATTTGATCCAAAAACACGGAGAAAAAAAGACTGGAAGAAAAAGAACAGAGCCTCAGACACCTATGGGAAGATATCAAGTTATCAGCCTATTTGTAATAAAAGTCCCAAAAGACAGAAAGCAGAAAAAATATCTGAAGAATTAATGGCCAAATATCTCCCATATTTGATTAAAAAATTAACCTACCAATCCAAGCAGCTCACTGAACATTCAAAGAGCTCAATGAAATACAAATAGTATCATACTTAAAACATCATAGTGAAATTTCCAAAATCCAATGTCAGAGAGAAAACATCAAAAGAAAAATGACCTCATATATAGAAGAATAGCAACACGTTTAACAGGTACATCTCACTAGACACAATCTCATCAGAAATAAGGAAGGTCAAGGGCAATAGAGCAATATATTCAATGTGCCAATAAGAAAAAATAAGCAAGAATTCTGAATCCCACGAAACTATTCTTCACAAACGTCGAAGAAATAAAGACCATTCTCTGATAAAAATCTAGAGAATCTGTTGCTACAAAACAAATTAGGAAGAAATACTAAAAAACACCCTTTGAGATAAAAGGAAATACCAGACATTAACTAAAATCCACAGTGAGGAAAAAAGAACACCAGAAATTTTAAATATGTGGGTACCCATAAAAAACTGTGTGTACAGAATACATACATACACACTTTTCTTCCCTGTTCTCTTAATTTCATTTTAAAAACATAAGATCACTTAAAGCAATAATTATAATACTGTATACCCAGGTTTATCACAGATATAAATGTAATACAGATGATGATGACAGTAAAAAGGAAGTGGGAAGAAATGGGGCTAAACTGAACCAAAGTTGCTATATTTCACCAGAAGCCAGTAATTAACCTTAACTATGTTGTAACGTGTTAAAAATGCATCATACTGCCTAAAGCAAACACACACACAAACCCCTCAAAAATAACAAAAGAAAAATTAAAATTTTTTAAATTTTAAATACTAAAAAATATTTGTGTAACACAAAAGGCAGCAGCAAAGGATGTACAAAGGAACATAAAAGATGAGACATATTGTAAACAAATAGCAAAGTTACAGACATCAACACAACCATATCAATGATTACATGAAATGCAAATAGACTAAACACTAATCAAAAAGTGGAGCTTTGTAGACTGGATTAAAAAAAAAACAGACAGGGGATCCCTGGGTGGCGCAGCAGTTTGGCGCCTGCCTTTGGCCCAGGGCCCGATCCTGGAGACCCGGGATCGAATCCCACATCAGGCTCCTGGTGCATGGAGCCTGCTTCTCCCTCTGCCTGTGTCTCTGCCTCTCTCTCTCTGTGTGTGTGACTATCATAAATAAATAAAAATTTAAAAAAAAATTAAAAAAAAAGCAAACAGAGTGTGGAGGTCGCTGGTGTCACCTGCCAGCGGCCGGCTCCTGCGCCTGCTCTTCGGCTCCCTGCCCGCTCCAACCAACCATGCTCTCCGCCCTCGCCCACCCTGCCGGCACCGCTCTCCGCCGCAGCTTCAGCACCTCGGCCCAGAACAATGCTAAAGTAGCTGTGCTTGGGGCTTCCAGAGGAATTGGGCAGCCCCTTGCGCTGCTTCTCAAGAACAGCCCCTTAGTGAGCCGCCTGACCCTCTACGATATTGCTCATACACCCGGAGTGGCCGCAGATCTGAGCCACATCGAGACCAGAGCAACCGTGAAAGGCTACCTCGGACCTGAGCAGCTGCCGGATTGCCTCAAAGGCTGCGATGTGGTGGTTATTCCAGCCGGAGTCCCAAGAAAACCAGGCATGACACGGGATGACCTGTTCAACACCAATGCCTCAATTGTGGCCACCCTGACTGCTACCTGCGCCCAGCATTGCCCTGAGGCCATGATCTGCGTCATTTCAAATCCGGTCAACTCCACCATCCCAATTGCAACGGAGGTTTTCAAGAAACACGGAGCTTACGACCCCAATAAAATCTTCGGGGTGACGACCCTGGACATTGTCAGGGCCAACACTTTCATTGCAGAACTAAAGGGTTTGGATCCCGCGCGAGTCAATGTTCCTGTCATTGGCGGTCATGCTGGGAAGACCATCATCCCCCTGATCTCTCAGTGCACTCCCAAGGTGGACCTTCCCCAGGACCAGCTGACAGCCATCACTGGGCGGATTCAGGAGGCCGGCACGGAGGTGGTGAAGGCCAAAGCTGGAGCAGGCTCTGCCACCCTGTCCATGGCATACGTTGGAGCTCGGTTTGTCTTCTCCCTTGTGGATGCAATGAATGGGAAGGAAGGAGCTGTCGAACGTTCCTTTGTTAAATCCCAGGAAGCAGACTGTGCCTATTTCTCCACACCATTACTGCTGGGGAAAAAGGGCATCGAGAAGAATCTAGGCATTGGCAAGATCTCCCCTTTTGAAGAGAAGATGATAGCAGAAGCCATCCCCGAGCTGAAGGCCTCCATCAAAAAGGGAGAGGAGTTTGTGAAGAACATGAAATGAAAGGGCAGCCAGCTAGCAGTCCGTTTCCCTAACTTATGAAGGCATCATGTCTCTGCAAAGCCATCTCCTGTCCTGTTTCCGTTGCGTTAACCACCAGTGTCATGTTAACGTCACCGCCCCTTCCAATCGCAAGTCCGTCAATGTGTGCATTAATAAAAGCAGGCTTCCGTTTTCTTAAAAAAAAAAAAAACAAAAAAAACAAAAAAACAAGGGCAGACTGGGTGGCTCAGCGGTTTAGCGCTGCCTTCAGTCCAGGGCGTGATCCTGGAGACCCGGGATCAAGTCCCATGTCGGGCTCGCTGCATGAAGCCTGCTTCTCCCTCTGCCTGAGTCTCTGCCTCTCTTTCTCTCTGTGTCTCTCATGAATAAATAAATAAAATATTAAAAAAAAACAAGACTTAACTATATGCTATCTATATATTTCTAAATGCCTGAGTCATGTTTAGATTCAGACACAAAGAAGCTGAAA